TTCTTTCTGCTGCCTTTCATTTTAAATTTCTTGTATTCTTTATAGTTTATGGAATTGTTTTGTTTTTTAAGATGAATAAACTTTATACCATACCAACCAACTCTGATATTAAAAACCACCTCACACAAACAAGCACATAGTGTCGTAGACATTCTGCAGAGGGGGACGACGATAGCGGTGAGCATGATCATAGATGCTGTCGAGGGCACTGTAAGAGTTATGATAAAGATGGAATAATCGGCCAGTGTCCTCCAGTGAGATCCATAAACATTCTCGAGGTATGTTGAGGAATAGCCAAGAATAATGACTATGAGAATCCAACAGTTCTGAAATGATGACACAAAGTTTATTCAGCTGGTTTCATCTGGTTATCAGTTGGAAATTCCTCAGGGAGAGGGTGGTGAGCGTCAGATCACATGTTCTCCAGGTGAATTCAGATAAGATGGCCTTTAAGGCCAGCCAAGGGAGCCAAATTCAGATGAATACACAGTTGTTTTGGGGATAGGCAGAACTTAATGACATCTACCTTAAGTCTGTGTTTGTCCACTTGGTTCCGAAATGTCCAAATTACATGGCCACACCAATGGAATGTGACTGAGTAAAATCCCCGAGATCTGTTCCATTCTGCCCAAAGCATTTGAGTCTGGGTACTCGAGACACGAACCAAACCATCATAAAGGCAAGCAGCGTGATTGGGTCCAAATTTGCTGCCGACGACTTCCTTGATTGTAGATAAAACCAGCAACCAGCCGTATCCAAAAAGCAGGAACCAGTTCTCGTAAATCCAATTAAATATGCGTCCTTAAAATCCACAAATGGCAGCAGAGATAGACACATAATCAAATCTTCTAAGTCAACGAGTGTTTTATGAAATTTCTTTAACAGGGGTCGTGAACGGTCGGCACCGAATATTCACACGAGAGGAAAATGAAACAAGGAGACTGTTTCTGCTAGAAATAATAGTGTCATTTATTAATTTGCCACAGAAAAACAGCCAAGCAAAACATGTACACTCGTACACTCTTAACACAATATGATATGAGAGCCTCTCACCGTGACACTTGGTCGGGAAGCCTTCGACCCAATGACAGGAATCACACCAAAACTGCTGGGCACCGTGCGCTGGTCCACAGCAAGACTTCTGACTTCTCTGTGTTCGTTACATTTCTTATATACCCCTCCCTGACCGGATCGCTTGAGAGCAGTGAAAAACAAGTTTGATGGTTGTCAGGAGGACAGACAGAAAGTCGGTATCTCATCAATAACCTGACATTGAAAACATGTCCTTCCAGTAACGGAGCGCCGTGACCACAGAGCGGGCCAAAGCTCTACTGCCAAAAAGCACTCCTAATGCTTATTAAAGCATTCCTAAAGAGGATACACTGCCCCCTTCGTCCCTCTGCTAACCATCAAAGAGTGTCTAAATATTATTAGTAACACACACACAAAATATATGTTTGAATAGGCATAAAGGCGACT